AGAGAGAGAGAGAGAGTTTCATTCTCACACCTTTACTCTAAGAAGCTTCTATACTCTCATTCTACGGAGTCTAACTTAAGAAGAAGCCTCACCATACAAACCCTAGACACCTCATCTACTTCCAATATTTGCATGCTCTCCACGATACCGTCCTTCATTGCAGCTGTTAAGAAAACATATGTGATATTCCCAACCTTAATAACATGTCACCATATTTCCAATCTTTGTGCTCTGCAACAGAGGTTTAGGGAACCAAAACAGGGGAGGAGTCAACGACGCAAGGAGACGCATCGATCTCATCTCAGCCGACTTCTCTGTGTCACCGAACTCACTTCTGCGTCTTCGTCATGTCCTACTTTTGGAGGTAGTGCACTTATTATGTTCGTGTGGGGCACAGCTCTCCACCTTTGACCCACTGCTGTGCTACACATTTTCCTCTCCGTCACTGTCACTCCTCTGTGATGACCTGAGGATGCGCGACTCCGTGAAGCACTCTCAATAATTAGATCCCCAGGCAATAATTACACAAGTCTTCTTCACTGAATCCGGCGAATTCTGTCACTGCTTCAACTCTAAATATCCACATATCGGTGGCTTTGCGGTCCACTGGTACTGCTGCGCGTCAATCTTACATAACCCATTCTGCTTTCGCCATGAGCAAGCCAGCTTGAGAGGGGAAACAGAGGAAGTCACTCTTTACTTGGTTTTAGCTCGTCAAACCGCGCCTCTTCCCCTCCCCCCCCCACCACACTTGTTGACTAACCACACGTCTCGTTTCCCACGCCCAGCGTCAGCATCATGCATGCATCCTGTTAATCTGGTAGCTTCATCCTCGTCGCCATCTGTCTCCCAATCACGTCGCTCTGCTCCTCTCTCTCGCTCTCTACCCGTCAAACTTTCTTCCCTCCTTCGTAGCTATCGAAGCAGGGAGACGTTCACTGGAGTAGGATCGATGTGCATATAAGGCTGCCTGCCTCGCCATACAGCCACCATCAGGTGAGGAGATGGAGGAACTGAGGAGAGGGCCTTGGACCGTAGAAGAAGACCTAGTACTCATCAAATACGTCACCGAGCATGGCGATGGCCAGTGGAACGCCCTCGCTCGTCTTGCGGGTACCAATTTCTTTTCTGGAATGTTTGAATGGATCTCTCTGTATCATGAGTGCATCATTCTTCCTTGGAACAGGTCTGAAACGAACAGGAAAGAGCTGCAGGCTTCGATGGCTCAACTATCTTCGCCCGGACATCCGGCGAGGAAACATCACGCCCGATGAGCAGCTCCTCATCCTCGAGCTCCAATCTCGCTGGGGAAATCGGTAACCTTCACCTTGTCACATGGTGCAATTCTGCACATGTCGACGTTCACCTCATACATATTGGTTGCCGCATCCAACAACAGGTGGTCGAAAATAGCACGTTGCCTACCGGGCCGGACCGACAACGAAATCAAGAACTACTGGAGGACTCGCGTGCAGAAACACGCCAAGCAACTGCGGTGCGACGTGAACAGCAAGACGTTCAGGGACGCCACGCAGCATCTGTGGATGCCTCGCCTCCTAGAGCGGATCCGGGCGGCCTCCGGCAGCGCTCCTTCCGCCGACCCTCCGCCCTACTCGCTCTCGCAGCTGCTCCCGCCCTGCCCGGAAAAGATGGCTGCCGTATCGTCGTCGTCGACGTCGACGTCGGAGGATGACTCGCTGCTGACTCAGTTCTCGTTCTTCACCACCGTGCAAGGCGGCGAGATGGTCCAGTTTGACGAGCAGGTCCTCGACGTTCATGGTGCCACCGGCGCCGGTTGGACGGAGTCTCCAAGCACTTGTCCCACAAACTATGGTGACTTTGAGCAAGGTGGATGGGCATCAGCCGACCTGCTAAGCGGTGATTACATGTGGAGCATCGAGGATCTGCAATAGTGTCAATGATGTAATCATCAACAACAGATGTATTCGAAGTAGCTACATAAATTCCATGTTTTCACGATCATCAAGAACTGCCGAGAAGCTTTAGCTCGAAGAATGGAAATGTCACCTTCACTAAAGTGTCCTGTATCTTTCAAACAGCTGGAAGGATCAGCCACGAACACATGTTATGCTCGATTCGTACGTAAACTGGAGATAAGTCCAAGCAGGTTCTCATCATCGCGGACGCATTTGTGGAAACTGATGGCCGACATTTCAAGAATTAGCTGAAAGAAGTCATATCTCTAACTAAACTCAATGATCTAATCCCCATATGGAAGATGTGGCGCCAATCACGGGAGAGAAGACAATCATAAGAGCGTCTCTTTCTTCTTTCTTTCCCGGGTTGTTGGCTGCACGTCATGTTCTTACCTTTCTATCACAGAGAGGATCGCAGGTGCCGTCTCCCATATGTTTGGGCGTAAGAGATACCTGGGCAACATGAGCACGGCAGCTCCTCGGCGTTCTCTCTCCACAGTCCGCTTTGCGTGCAGCTCTGATACTGTACGAGGATTTGCGAGGGTTGATGATGACGTGAGTTACTACTACTCATGCTTTGACCGATGATTACAATTGGAAGCGCCCGTTATCAATGTCGGTAAGATGTACTTTTGTTCTGAGAAACTTCGTCTGGTCTAAGGTGACATTTGGTTTATATGGAAAACCAAGAAACAAAAGAGTTCTACCGCTGCCCCCCCTATTTGACTTCTTATGCTTCATGTTCCCTTAACAACTCTGATTTGATTCATGACATCTTGCAATGATTATTTCATTTAATAATAATATTATTATTTTATTAATCGGAACTTGACGCATGAAGCTCAATCAACATTTATAATATAGCACATGACATGTACCACAATAACAAACATATCTAAAGTTATATTTTCTAGTTAAACCAATTATCATAAGCATGACGTCATGTAAAATGCCCATATATATATATATATATATATATATATATATATATATATATATATATATATATATATATATTTGAGATTTATTAAATGAACACTTGTGAGACGTCTACAATGTGTACAAAAATGATCTTAGGAGGGAAGAAGGGGTTTTATTGGATAAATTCCGACTTCTAACTTGAATTAAAAGTATTTCCTGACTTTAGGAAATTTTCTCTCGTCCGAGTTCTAATTACTTCACGAACTTTTCTATTCCGGATGCAATTCAGCTGGAGTCAGTTTCACTGAATCAAATTGATGAGAAATTGGATCATATCAATTGGCTTTCATTATAGCTGTACTAAAAAGGGAACAGCTTGGGATTTTATTCAGTTCTTGCAGAGATAAACAAGGCATTTTAGTGCTCGCTTCTCCATCTATTTTACGGGAACAACGTGGAAGATGTCTCTTCCCGTCATCTCGGGTCGCGTTGACAAACGTTTGACGAGTGACCTGTGAGGTGAAACCATAACGTCAGCGATAACGTGGAACGAGAGAGTAGAAAAGAAGTGGCGGACAAATAAGACTGAAACATCTGCGAGAACATAAATAAATAGACACCCTATGTCTTAGGTACTTTGTTTAAGTTTCATGCACCTCAGTGTTACAGTAAGGAGGTCTTAAGTCATGGATTCGCATCTAATCGTGGGGATTATGTTCCCCGAGCCTGAGACGGTGGTCAAGGCACGCGTCTCCCAAGTCTCATGATCGTTGGTGAACACACATTAAAATG